AGCGAACATATTTCAAATTATTAATATAAAATAAAATGTAGAGAGCCACAGTATTCATGAGTTAAGAAAACTATGGCTCTTCTTGAGTTTCATGTAACGTTATTACTGCTTTTTTTAAGTTCTCTCTATGCATTTAATGAATTTCTATGCAACTTCTTTAATTTCTTTTAATTTTTCAAACACATTCTCACAAGGTTTCAATGCTTAAAAAAAAAAACATTTTCCACTGGAAAAAAAAAAAAAAACTTCTAAGTTGTCATGTACCCTATGCTCACATGAAAAAGAAAAAAAACAATATTGAACAAAAATTATGCAGATAATTATGCAGGGATAATTAGCGTGGAGGCGTTGTGTGCGTAATGTGAGATAAATATCAATGTGCAGGCACAGTGGCAGACAATGTGAGGTATGGACCACAACTAAGAGGGAAAAAGCTAACTGATGAAGAAGTACGCAGGTTGCTGATAACAGCAGACCTTGATGCTTCTTTGATGAGCAAGAATGGCTCTGAACTCTCTGTGGGTCAAGCTCAACGAGTTGCACTTGCCAGGACTTTAGCTAATTCCCCTGAGGTAAGTGAGTAATAAATAAATGATTTGGATCTTCTGATGCCTTTAGGATGTAGATAAACAGTAAATGATAAAAAAATGGGAAGAAAAAGAGGTGAGCCCCACTTTAATGAGGTTCATGATTGTTAGAAATGGAATGGGATTACCATTCCTTTTGTATTCTTCTTACCCTCTACCGAATCTGTAACTTAAAGCATCTTAATTTGAGGTATAACTGACTGTACAATTTATGATGTGTTTGGTAATATGTTAGTTTTTGTATTAAAAAAAAAATTGACAATGATTGAGCAATGAATGCATTTATGTATTGGAGGCCTAACTCTGAAGTAGATCATTCAACTTGTCCTTTGTACCCAAAAAAAACAAAACAAAACATATAAGAAAAAGAAAAGAAATTGTGTAAGGATCCTAGTTTGAGGCATCTATGACTCACTGTACAATTCACTGACTCTTGAAAATGATTCATTTATTTATGAAGGGATTTTAACTTTGAAGCATATTATTATCTGAAAAAGGTTTTACTGCTGGATGAGCCAACCAGTGCACTAGATCCAATATCAACAGAGAACATAGAAGGTGCCCTAATGAAGCTGAACAAGAACAGTGGTATGACAGTGATAATTGTCTCTCACAGCATCAAACAGATACAGAGGATAGCTGACTTGGTGTGCCTAGTTGTTGATGGTCAAATAGTTGAAGTTTTAAAGCCTGATCTACTGTCACAAGCCACGCATCCCATGGCCCAAAGGTTTCTTCAACTTAGTTCTTAGGTATGGAATAATATGTGAAATGCTCTGTTATGAATTTATGAGCTCTTGTGTTCGCTGTTGCAAGCCACTTATAGGAGCCAACATGATCAAATGTTTTGTCAGCTAGGAATCTAATTAGCATCCTTGGGGTCCTCATTCAGATGAGAACTGTACACTTTGGCTGTTTCAGATTTAAATTAAATAATTGTTTGGATTCCATTCATGTGATTCTCCAAATAAAAGAAAATTCTCCCTACATAATTTTTGCGGAGGATGTCATCTAGGGTCCTTAGAAGCAAGATGATCTCATACTGTTAGTTGGCTAGTATACTAAAATGGGGTGAATTGAGTTCTTAAAATTTTCTACACAATAATAAGCGATTACCGTGCAATAGTGGATTATAAAACAGATTAAAAAAAAAAAAAAAGGTGCAATTGTAGACTGTAGAATAAAAAAAGGGCAAAGAAGAGAGAATCAAACATGATAATTTATCCTGGTTCAGTTCCTCTACTGAAGCTACATCCAATCCCCAAGCTCTCCTCTTGAGAGTTCGCTAATTTCACAAGTTCATTTTGGACATTTGTAAAGCCATAGTACAATCCCCTTGATCTTTTCGCTAGCCGAAGTAATCACACTCTAGCATTTGGAATCTACAAATCCCCTCAAGATTCAGATAGCATAGTTGGTGGCTAGCTCAATGAAGTTTTTGCACTTAATAAGCTTAATGATGCTATCTTGGACTTAAATAACATTTCTATTTATACTTTTTCCGAGTAAGTAAACATTAGAATCAATTTTTCTAATCATTATTCACATCAACTTGTTGTTAAGTGAGAGTATTTAACGTGTCTATCAGAATAAGTAACTACGACGACCAACAAGTCTAATCTTTTAGTCTAATACAATTAGATAGGTCCTAACTTCTAACTTTCATAGAAGCTCAGCAAATCCATATTTCATAAATAAAGTGCAAGAGTAATCGCTTATTTAGTAGTAGATTCATTTTATGTAATTTTAAGGAAAGATGAGTAGTCAAGTCAAATAGTTTATCTTAGGCATCTACTGTAATTTTTCAGATTTACCTTTGAAACACAGTAGTAGACGACTACTCATTCACCGAGTGATCACCAAATATTTCGTGAGAGCATTGTTCAAAGATCAGCACTTTGATAGACCGCTAGCTCTTAATAGACAAACAAAAGCAACTTGATACTTCCATCACTTAAGTAAGAAAAATTTCAATATACTTAACCCTTGGAGGGGGAAAAATCTATCAAAAATAGTAAAATTGAAGCTTTTTCTCACTCTATTCTCTGTTTTCTATTTTATCCAAACCACTTATAAAAGTTAAAGATAAAATGAACCTTGATCAAGCTTAGTTTAGACCTAGGCGAGGAAAAAAAAAAAATAATTCGAAGCTAGAATATTTTTTTGGGCCAAAAAACTGGAATAAATTTAAGAAACTATTTTTTTTATATATTCATTTTTAATGATAATGTGAGCACACTTTCTTCGGATTGTCGAAGTTGATACTCCCCAAATTGGGACTTGCAATTCGAAGAAGAAGATCCACTACCTTTAAAACGTGCTGGGCTTGCCCTGGCAAGTTTTGTAGCCGTTGGATTGTTACAGATTGTGGTTCCGTCCCTTTCTACTATATGTATCACAAACGTATGAGTTTAAAAATCAAGGCACGTGGAGAATAGCGTTCAATTGACTTAAAGGGTGTTTGGACACCATAAAAGTGCTTCTTAGAAACACTTTTACATAAATCGAGATAAACTCATTTACATATTTACTTCGTATATCGTAAAAACACTTTTAAAACCATAGTTTTGATTTTATCCAAACAACTCATTAGTTTCTAGAGAGTTCTGATGAATTTTTTTCTATTTGAATTGATGCATACATATTTTTTTTGGGGGAAAATTTCACTCCCTCCAATTTTACATGTAAGCGAATGTTCCCAAAGATTGGTTGCTAATATCTATAGGATAAACTTATAACATTTTTGAAATTTTTAATATTATTTTTTACTTTTACCACATTAATTATTAGTTTGTCTCACTATATTAATAATATTTGCATGCTTTTTTATTTATCTTCTCCATAAATTCTCTCTAAATGAGAGTTAGACCCAACCTCATTGATAAGAGTGAGCAAAACTAAACCGAAACTAAAAATGGAACCAAACTCAATTTGATTTTTTTAAATTTATTTATTTAGTTTTCCATGTTTAGTTCAATGTGTTTGAAAAATTTTTTGTTTAAAATTAAAAAAACTGAATTGAAGCCAAAACGCCATTATATTATTTCAAGTGGATAAAATTATAGTCAATTTGAATATTTAAATAATTTATCTAAACCTAAATAACACCTATAGGAGTGATGATTAACGATTCACAAAATCACATTCACCTTTGAATATCTATTAGAATCAAATTTTATAAATATCAGCGACCAGATTTTTCCAGATTCATTACAAAAACTGCTCATATTTAACCATTTTCTTAATTTTGAAAAATAAAAATAGAGAATTAAAATACTTTTAACTATTAAACTATTAAAAATATAAATTAAAGGTAAAAATAAAGTCAAATATAACCATTTTTTTAATTATACATAATTCAGTATATCAGTTCTTTCGGTTCTTACTGAAACCTGAACCGAAATGCTCACTCTACTAAGCCCAAAATCCTACGTCCCATTCTTAATTAAAAAATTAGCTGGATATTTAATTTGGTTTTAAATATAAAGTTTTAATTTATTTTATCTCTTATATTTATCTATTTTTTAAAGTAATCGTTGAAGTAATTACACATATTAAAAGTTTAATCAAATACTTATCCGGTCTTAAATATAAAACTCTTATACTAGTATATATAAGGGTCTTATATTTAGAAGTAGAGGAGTAATAATTATAACTAATACACATTATCAGTAAGGGTATTTGAGAAAAGATAACACATATCTATCATAACTAACTAACTTAACAAACTTATTTAATTTATTTAAGTTCGTCAATTAGCTCTTAAATTAAGGACGGGACATAGTATTTTATAAATATTATTTTAAAGTTATATTAACATAATTGATTTTATAATATAGCTTTTCTAAATATATTCAATATTTTACCTATATTTAAAATTTTAATTTGATTTTTTAATTTAATACTACCTCATGTCCTAATTATAAGAGCTAATTGACTAATTTGAGAAAATTAATAAAATAAGTTAAATTAGTTATTTGTAATAAATAGGTGTTATCTTTCCTAAAAATATTCTTAGTAATTAAGTCTATTGATTAAAACTATCATTATTAGATAGATAGATTATTTTAAAAATTAATTTATAAATATAAAAAATAAAATGAATTAAAATCTTATATTTAAAACTAAAATAAAAATAAAAACGAAGGAGAATCGTTATAGAACGGAGGTAGTACTTGCGTAAAACATACCGAGGGAGAAATAAATGCCAGGCGGCACATGAAGGAGAGGGAAAACCAACGTGAACAAATTAACAACTTTACGATTTAATCGTGGTGTCTTTCTATCCGCTCCCCACAACCGCAGTTGATTGGTTCCAATTTCCAACGCCCCCCTCCGCCTGAATGCCGAATTTACCACCATGAACATCATCAATCCACTGTCTTCTTTTCGATTCTTTTGCCTGTAACCCTCCTCCTTCTTATTCTCATGTGAATCCAGTCTTTGGATCTTCTTCCTCTTCTCTGTAAATGGCTGATATTATTCGATTACAGTATCAGCCACTTCGATTCTCTTCTCTCTCTTCCCTTCTTTTCCTTCGTCTTTCAGAAATTCACCTCCTGTTCAGTGCTCAACTAAGAGGGTTTTCCCTGTTTCGTATTCTTCTATAGCTGCTGGTCTTGCCTCACTTGCTTTTACACCCAGCAAGCGGTTGCTCTCCTTCAAGGTGAATTTTTTTTTTTTTTTAAATTTTGCGCTTCTTGCTTTATCTTTCTTCTTCACTGTTTGGGTTCTTAATTTGTGATTTATGTATCCCCTAAACGGAGGTGTTCTTGGAATCAAGTAATTCTGTGATAGCACTTTGTATTAAAATATTGTCTTAGCACGCATTCGCCTCTCTCGTTTGACGTGTGGATGTGGGTTCTACGTCTAAATTCTTGGATTTGTGTTGGCAAAGTGTGACCTTCGTCTCACTGAGTGAAGTAAGGACCACCTGTTTTCGACTTTGGGGTGACGTACTGCTATTCGGGTTTCATATTGCAATATTAGAGCTCCAATTATGGTTGCATATTGCAACTTAAGCCGTTGGAGTCATGTGCGCATTTGGATGATTATTCTCACAATTAAGCGCAGCAGGTGTTTAATGTATTGTTCCAATGATTTAATTAACCGGGGGGATTATTACCTTAAATTATGGGGTGTTTATATGACCTTTTGCTTTAGATTCAGCTGTTAGTCAGAGTAATGTTCAAAAAAGTTCCTGAGGCAAGGCTTGTCAGGGCTTTTATATGTTTTTATGTCCCCTCTTGGTTGTGATGCTATACAGTAAGTTGAACTCAATTATGTGTCTGTGGAGATCACCACTGAAATATGTAGTAAGTTGAACTCAACAGCGCCATAGTCATTCTCAATTGATCTTTGGCACAGATGAGTGTAAAATTCCTGCCCTCAATGCATCATTGGGGAATTGTATATTTTAAGTCCATTTGCTACTTTTTGGGAGGCTACTTCCTTCAAATTGAGATTTATTCGCATTTGGTTCATCCATGCTATTTAGTTGTCCTCATGAAGGAACCCTCTTGAAGTGGCTTATTAGAACATTTAAACTTGTAAACCAATGATGATGATAATTGCCTTTAGTTTTCTGACCATGCTTTGCCTTTTATTGATCAAGAATTTGCAAGTGATTTAAGTTGATTGTCTTGGAATATATGCTGGAGGAACCCTTTACTAGTGTAGACAAATTAATGCAAGTTCATACTTGGGGAAACCTGTTCATAAAAAACTCTTGTCTAAACTTCACAACCGAATATAGCTTTGATTGGGTTTTCTAAATTGTCAGTCTAATTTTTTTTCCTACAATTTTTGAGTCAAATCTATCATCTATGGATTACTTTATGCCCATTGTCCATTTCTAACAGCTTCTGTTGGGTTTTCTAGATCATCAGTCTCATTTTTTTCCTACAATTTTTGAGTCAAATCTATCATCTATGGGTTACTTTATGCCCCTTGTCCATTTCTAACAGCTTCTGTTGTTGTTTGTGTACGCACTTCATTTCAGGTATCTGCAACTGTTGCTGAAACTAATCAGCCAAAATGGTGGGAAAAGAATGCACCAAATATGATTGACATTCACTCCACTCAAGAATTTGTAGATGCTTTAAGTCAAGCTGGAGATAGACTAGTCATTGTTGAATTTTATGGCACTTGGTGTGCATCTTGTCGAGCATTGTACCCCAAGGTATATTTCTTACTAGTTCTGCTCCTATCATTATAGCTTTTAGTTTCTGGAGAATAGTTATTTATTTACTCATTTGGTCTTTAATGTAAGACCGGATTAACTAATTTGAGTAAATTAAGGATGTTAGTTAAATTAGTTAATATGATATGTTTTTTCAAAAATCCTAATCATCTTCCTTAATTCTCTCCCCCCTTCTCCTACTTGATTATTGTTAAGGAAATATTAATCGGGTTAATTCGGAAAAAAAAAATTGATAAACATGTGAAATAGGTCTTATGATAGGATAGAAATAGAAAAGCAAGAGATAGAAGAAGATTCAGAGAAGAAGAGAGATGGAGAAAGATAGGAATTAGGGAAGGAGAGTTAGAGAAGAGACGAGCAAGAGACAAACAGAGAGTAGGCAGAGGTTGTATCTCAATAGTGCACTATATATTCCTCAAAATCAATTCTGTACAATGGGGTACCGTGGTCATGTCTATTTATAGGCCTAATTACAGAACTAATCACTACATAAATATCTCTCTTAACGGTTAGTGACCGTTACTTCTCCTAATATTTAAAAATAATTATAATAATACATCATCTTACATACAGGACCAATAACTCTTAAACTAGGTCCTACATTAAGGACCAAAGGAGTATTTTGTAATATTTACGTTTGTTTGCACCTTTGTTGATAACTTGTTCTAAGAATGTAAATGATTCAATTATCATCCATCTAATCCTGATTATCCGAACAAAAAAATATAATGATTATATTGCCTTATGTTATGGTTAATTATTAGTGAGTGAAATGCCGAGTGCTGTGGATATCCTATAAGGATTCTTAATAATTGATTTTCCATACTTGTAATTGTAATTGTATTATGATAGGGTCAACTTATTTAAAAATACCTATAAGAGGCAACCTAGGCAGAAGCAAGCAAAAAGCAACAGTCCTGTCTGAGCAACGAGGGAGTTGACTTCTAATTCCTGCCATTTTGGAGAAAGTAGCATGCTCTAATGTCCTTTAGGTCTGTGTACTAGGTTATTGTATTTTGGGAGACTGTGCTGTTTACTTTTGAATATATTAGCCGTTGTAGCTTGAGGGAGGTAAGACGTTTTCACATGAGAGTATAGTGAGGAGAGAGCTGATCTCTCGATTGTCAGGTTCATTGTATGAGCTATGAGTGTATGAACTATTTTGTAACTTCCTATCTCCCACTGAGTAGGAAGATTGTTATTACTTAATCGTATTCAGCGTATTTTTCACTGTTGGTCCCATTTACTGTTTCATTAGTTGCTTATTGCTGCTCCTACTCTTGGTCCCTATCATATTATTTTTATCAGCCTTGGTTAAAATGAATTAGATTATAGAGTTCATGCTGATATGATAGTGGCTGGTCAACTTTGTTGATACAGCCTGTAGGTATACCATAAATGTTCTCATTGTGATTTTGATATTGTTCTGGGTTACTTTTATAGAGCTTTTCCCTTCTGTGAAAAATTGTTATTCAGGAAAAGGGACTTGTAACACGAGAATGCTCTAGTAAAATGTCAATTAAAAAATTTATGGGTGCCATAGTAGATTTGGGGGATGGTACTCATCTGCAAGTATAAGTCCTATCCTCGCAAATAGAAGTCTTTGAATAATATAATGCATCTATTAAAGATGTGATTACATGGAAATCCATTGAATTCCCTCGTGAACCTTCTAGCCTGTCCTACTTGTTTATGGGTAGAGGCTACTTTAAGAAAATATAACTCTTGACTCAAATGTTTCTTTTTGCTGTCTTAATTATTGACTGATCAGCTAAGTTTGTCTACCTGCTGCTTAAATCATATTACAGCTGTTTTGGATCTTGATATTTTTCTTTAATGGATCTGGCAGCTCTGCAGAACAGCTGAAGAACATCCGGAAATCGTCTTCCTAAAAGTAAATTTTGATGAGAACAAGCCAATGTGTAAGAGTATGAATGTGAAAGTACTTCCTTACTTCCACTTTTATCGAGGTGCTGATGGGCAGCTGGAGTCGTTTTCGTGCTCACTTGCCAAGGTAATTCTTCTAACCTGTCTTTTAATGATAGAAGAAATATTATGGAAGAGATGAAAGAACAAGGTGTAAGAGGCAGATAAGTTTAACTCATTGGAATAATACTGTTTCTTTCGTGAGAAATACCATGTAATTCCAACTATCCAATCCCAATTATTATTTGTGAGTGAGAATTCCTTGAAGAAGCCATTGTTAGTGCCCTATAGGGAGCTCTAAAGTGAAGCTGTGAAGACTATCATATTCCATAAGAACTTTAGGAACTAATAAGCATTCCCAAAAAAATATGAGAATTTCTACTTCTGTCCTTGTCAATTGGAATTGCGCTGAAACAAAATGACTGATCCAAGATATACTAAAGCCAGTAATCAGATTATTCCACATGGTTGTGGCTGCTGAACGCTGTAAAATAGCTAGCCTGTTGTTCCTGCTGTCCGAATAGAAGACTTCTTCAAGGTAGTTTTGGATTTTCCCTTTTTTTTTTTTTTTTTGATTTAACGTAATTTAAACACACATACAAACATGTGTCCAAGTGTGGTGGATGGCGTTGCCAAGGAGGAGCTTACAAAGGAGGAAATTCATATGATAAAAAATTAAGTATGCAACTGGAAAAAGGAAGCAATTATTTGAAAGAATACAGAACAGGAGAATTACGAGTCCAAGCTCTGTTATCCAATGTAGATAACTACTGAAAGGGTCTAAAAAGTGAGAAAAAAAAAAGCAAGCAGTTCAGAAGCGTCTCCAAAATTCCTTTTCCAGAGGATAAAAGTACGTTTCAACGTCATCAGAAAGTTAGAAAAAAAATCTGGGTGGAAACATCATGCAAAGAAAGTTATACAAATGAAAACTCTGATGATTTAGTTCTGCTTATGCTCATTAACTCAGTCTCAAAGTGAAATATGAGCAGCAACCATTGTTTCTTGTGCTGGGCCCCAGATTATGGTCCATTCAGATCCAGATGGAATGAAGAAACAGTTATCTTGGCATCCTACTGTGACTGTTGAAACTTATCTTTCCTTAAACAAACAACAAGCCTTATCCCACTAAGTGGGGTCGGCTACATGAATCACACGACGCCATCATGCTCTGTCAACAACCCAATCCTTAGATATGTTGTTGATAATTACTTCGTTGATCCATGTTCATGAGATTCGATGGGTTTTTACATTGGCTGTCGAGGGCCTAACACAACCCTCCTCCTTTATCTGGGCTTGGGACCGGCTATACAACATAGGCGGAGTTTGAAACTTATCTTTCCTTCTTGCCGGAAAATAGTGTACAATTTGAAGAGAATGAGATACAATACACGTTGGTTAATACTGCATGTTTGCACTCTGCAGTCTGCATCTATCACTAGAGACTGTATTTTATTTTGTTTATTTTTTATTTTAATATGTTTTCTTTTGGTCAACAAGAGATTGTGAGGGCTGGAATCTGAAAAGAATAACTGGTAAGATTCTCTTTCAGTGTGCTTGGCTGGCTGAACTCAGAAAAGGAGATGAACAAACGCAAGAAAACATATGATCACTTTTACGGCTATGCCTTTTTCTAGTTAATGACCATACTCACCTTTGAGGAAAAAAACACACAGACACATATTTGTGACGCTGAATATTGAATTGAATAGTGGTTAGATATATTGTATGTATTGAAGTTAGTTACTTGGAATGTAGTGATCCATATCTGTTAATTGGATGATCAGCTTCTGGTTCTCTTGGAATTTTCTTTTTCAGTTTCAAAAAATAAAGGATGCCATTGAGATGCATAATACAGCTCGATGCAGCATTGGTCCACCTAAAGGAATTGGCGATCTGAAAATTGAGCCTCCCTTTGCTCCGAAGGATACGTCAGCTGAATCAACTAAAGAATAGCATCAACGAATTGCGGTGAATTGTGTGACCCCTTTGTTGTTGCACAAGGAGAAACCCCAGGAAAAGGTTGCGCCCCACAGAAACTTAAGTTATGAAAGATACCTTCTCTATTCTGTATATTTACTTTGTTTTTACTTATTAGGAGTTATTATTCCGCTCCATTCTTTATCAAATGATGTTTGATTGTAATCCACATGGTTGAAAACTAGTGAATTTTTGGGGTTTTTTGTGTAGTATTTTATTTCAAAATGTATTCAACTGTGAGCTAAGCTCAGCAGTACTTGCTCTGGCTTAATTCTTTGGTTCTGCTAAACCTGACAGGCAAATAGTATGGCAGAGTTATGAGATTTCCAAGTGTTTTCTTGGTTGGCGCTGGGTCTGGCAAAAGTGCGGGGTCAAAAGAAAAGACACCACTGTATACACAGATGTGTGCGCGCGCGCGCGCATATGCATTAGGGGTGTTCAAGGAGCCCAGTGGCCCGCTATGCCCGCCCAAACCCACAAAAAAATACCCAGCCCGCCCTAAAAAAAATGGCCCAAAAGATATATTGGGCATGTTCGGGCTGGGCATATTGTTGGGCAGGGCTGGGCATCGGGCACGGTATGCTGCCCTGCCCATTTGGCCCTGCCCGCAAAAATATATATAATTTTATTTATATATACTTTATTTGTCTCATATTTATCTCCTGAATCAAACACTCTGTTGCATTAATATTCAATATTCATTATACTTATTTATTTTCAAATGATTTTGAAAGTAAACGTGTTATCATTTACTGCGATTTGTATAACCATTCTCTTTTTTAATGCAAACATTATGACCATTAGCAATTTGTATAATTGATCCATGATCTTATGAGTATCTAGGAGTTGTGGGGAAAAAAAATATTTACATTTGGTTAAGAAATTTTAAAAACTAGAAAAACAATCAAGTTTAATAAAGTATACTAATAACATTTTTGTTTTTCATAGCTTACTCCTCTTAGCAACTATAAAATGTTGTTTCATAATATATCAATTGTTAATAACTAAATTAAGGTCAAGTTACCATTTTAATATAAAGTTACATTTTATTATCTAGAAGAACATAAATAACTAGTTAAATAATATAGTATATTGATTTTTTGGGTATAGAAGCCCGCCCTGCCCAGCCCGCGTTTGCCCTGCCCGAACTTACTAGGGCTTTTCATGGGCAGGGCAGGGCAATGAGCTGCATTTTTCAGCCCGTTCATTTTTCGGGCTGGGCATCGGGCAAGGGTCCTGCCCTGCCCAGCCCTGTCCATGTGCAGCCCTAATATGCATATATAATCTGTACATGAATATGTATGTGCGCGTTTTAGTTGATGGTTTTCTTGTGTTTGGTATATGGAAAAATTCTTTGAAAGAAAGGATAAGGTAAGGGACACTATCTTTTTTATTGTGTTCGCTCAATGGCAAAGCATTTTATTGGAATGAAAAGGTGTTTATGAACGTGGGAGAGATCCTTCTCATTTCCTTTCCTACTTCATGCCAGCCATGCTCTTAGCAAAGAATAGAACAATTGGTGATAAAAATAAAAAATGAAGATAATTTCCCTCTTTGGTCAATTTCACGGGCTCGTACCTATATATGGATTGTCAGCTTGAGGAGGAAATAATGACTGCTTACCTTAGAAGACGATGAATCTTAATAATAAACCATTCAATTCACCTATTATTTTGCTCGTAACTGATCTAAAAATTGAAGTTACAGAACACATCATAAACAAAAATTAGTGGAATGCGTGCCTTTAAAATTTGACAAACAAAATATATTTATTGCTCACAGTTGAATTGCAAGCCATATGATAAAGAGAAGGTGGGTCATGCGATGCAACGACACATGAAGACATGCATGATACAACTTTCTCATAAGAATGTGATTAACAAAATGAAACTAGACAGAGAGATCCGCAACTATTGGGTTCGGTGAAGAAGTTATAACCTCGTCTCTGAGATATCACGGCTTCAATAATCGCAAGGCTGAATTCTCAAAGAAGGACTTTTCTTTCTGCCAATCAAAGGTCTACCAAATAGGGATTCGGCAGAAACTCTGCAGAGGAAAAGAAAACCATGACCACTTATGGAACAATCCCATCATCATCATCATCAGAACCCTCAAAAAGAGTGTTAGTTTCAAGGGCTAAAGAACGCATCCAAACAGGTCTTGGCACAAGAAGACCATGGAATGAAATGATCCAACTTGATCATTTCAGATTCCCTTCCTCTCTTTTCCAATCCCTCCAAAGAATCAACACCAACACCGATTTGTTTCGGGCTAATTATGTGATTATCATACTCTTCATTCTCTTCCTCAGTTTGCTGTGGCACCCCATCTCACTTATCATTTTAATTCTCATGATGGCTGCTTGGCTCTTCTTGTATTTCCTACGAGATGACCCTTTGATCCTTTCGGCTACGAGATCGATGAGCGATTTGTGGCTTCATTTTTGCTGTTAGCTACAATTGGAATGCTTTTTCTTACCAACGTAACGAATAATGTCATTGTTGGTATCTCTGTGGGATTAGGGTTTGCATTGGTTCATGCAGTGATGAGAGATACAGAAGAAGGCTTTTCTGGGAATGGAGGAGAAGAAGAAGAAGGTCGTGTTGTTTCGTCAGATCCTCGAGACCTTGTTAAGCTTCCTGCTTCAACTTCTCTTGCTTCTTCATAGTACGTAATGTGGGGATTCTTTTTCACGTTCTCTTCTCCATCCATTCATTAGCCAAAGAAATTGAATGATTCTCATGTATCTGACTCACAAGTTCACTTGTAATTTTGTTGATTAACGAAAGTTTTGATGAGTTGGATAGCAAGCAAGAATTGATCATGATCATTAGAATGGAAATCACAATTCACAATTCACAGAATACACTTCATTTTGATAGTTGGAAGTTGAACAGGTCAGATGGTTGATAATTCTAACGATTTCTTGAAGTGTAAGATGAAGATATCTCCTATGTCATCCTTAATATGTAAAATTATATCAGCATAATTTCTATTGTTTTAGATGAACAATTTGAAGACTTATTGGTTCTAACAAATCACTGTACAGCTAATTGTTCTCACCTTTCAATTCCTACAAATGTTTTACAGACATCAGTCTAATTTTTGTTGATCACTTGTGCTTCTTTTTGGTTAACAATATATGTAAACATTTAGTTGCTGATAGAGCATATGATACTGTGTTATTCATGGAACTGACCTCATCTAATAGGATAATGCTTGTTGCTGCTGCTGCTGCTGCTCCTACGTTTCTTTCTTGCTTTGGAGATAACATGTGGTGACAAATGACACGTGAAGATTACGTGATTATAAGATAAAAACCACAAGTAGGCCATACGTATTACCAGCAAATATTGGTGGAAAATTGGAAGATTAAGAATTCCAAAATTATTGTGCTTTCTTAGCGGTGAAGATCCCTACGTCAGTAAAGAAACTCAAACATAAAGCTCTTGTGGGAAATGGGACTGATCTTTACCGGACCAACTTTTGTTGATCATTTTTGTGCTTCTTTCTTGCTTTTGACATTAGATGAGCATCAGATAAAAATCACAAGTAACCCATACATAGCACCAGCAAAAATAGGTGGAAAATTAAAAGATTCCAAACATTATTGCAGCAGACATTTCTATGCATGTTTTAGAGACTTTTTTACGTCACTTTTAGGGAAACGTAAACTCAGGTAATGTAGTAAGGTTATCCACGTTTGTTTTAAAAAAAATGTGCACAAGACTTTTCACATTTGTTCAGTTAAATATAATAATAGATGTAGAAAAGTCTTTCTACAACTGTTCCCAATGTAGAAACACTTTCCCTACGATAGAATTTAAAAAATGCCACTAATTTTAGCTTCTACATTTGGGTTTAGTAGAACAAACGACGTATAGTGACTTGAAATGTATTTCTTATAAGGGAGAATTACAATCAAGTCTCACAGAAAAGAAATAATTACTAAAAGGTCCCAATAACAATCTAAACAGCCTGTAATGACAAGTCATTAATGGAGAATAAAAACCTCTGAGACTTGTTTTGTTATTTTTTTCCTTCTATGAGACTTGATTGTAATTCTCCCTTCTTATAATAGTGATAGCATTTTGCATTGTTCATGTACTAAAATTATTGTGCTTGCTTAGAGGTGAAGTAAAAGTGCTGTCCTACACTACAAATTGGCACTTGCTATATGGTAAAAGCAAGTCTCTGAAGATAATCAAAAGCAATTTCAGCATAAAAGGGGGGGGAAATGCCATCAATTTTTCTTTTGTTCATGCTGACACATCTTTACCACTTAGTCCCCTGTTCAACAAAGCCATCAATTTTCTTTATAACCTGAGTTGCTTCAGTGACTAGGAAAAAGAAAATACTTTTTGTTAAGTGCCTCTCACTCTGGATGAAGATTCTTAGCTAAGGAAAGTGGGGTTTCTTTATTCTTCACATACAGCTTGTAAATCCATTTTGGATATATAAGAAGAAAAAGAAAGTGTTCCGTTATGATAAGAATAATGAACTCAGTGCTCAAACTTTATCCACAAAACAATGGTGGAATTTATTTGACAATAGTGATTTCGATAAACACAAGTTATCATACTCCACAAGTTGCTTATGGCTTGGAAATATATGGATGGGTCTATTTTTTTTTTTTCCCTGTACAAATATCAAAGTGGGTATATAACCTGAGTTGCTTCAATGACTAGGAAAAAGAAAATACTTTTTGTTAACTGCCTCTCACTCTGAATGAAGATTCTTAGCTAAGAAAAGTGGGGTTTCTTTATTCTTCACATACAGCTTCTAAATTCATTTTGGATATATAAGAAGAAGAAAAAAAGTATTTCGTTATGATAAGAATAATGAACTCAGTGCTCAAACTTTATCCACAAAACAATGGTGGAATTTATTTGACAATAGTGATTCCGATAAACACAAGTTATCATACTCCACAAGTTGCTTATGGCTTGGAAATCTATGGATGGGTCTTTTTTTTTTTTTTTCCTGTATAAATATCAAAGTGGATATGAGAGATATTTTTAGGGGGTGTTTGGATAGAAACCAAACCATGATTTCAAAAGTGTTTTTATGGTTTACGAAATAAATATGTGGAGGAATTTGTCTCGTTTCGC